CTTTTGCAATATAAAATGTTTGGGGAGATGGAAATGTACAATTATTACTAACATCAGACACTGTAGGCGGATGGGAGTGAGGGTCTTCGGCTCAGCTCCATGTGAAATACGTCCTTGTGAAATCGAAAAGAAATGCCACTCTCAATTATGAGTGAGCATGAAAAGTCATCGTCAAAGAAATGTTTTATCATTTAAAACAGTAAACAGTAGTATTTACTTTTATTTTTTATATCTTATTCTGATTTTATTTCAGCCATTAAATCAAAATCTGATCCTATTTGTTCCTTCTTTCCTCATTTTACTCACACAGCTTTTTCGCTTCTCTCCGTCCTCTCTCCGTTTTCTTTTCTCCATGCTTCTTTCCTTTCGTTTTTTTTTTTCAAATAATCTAAGAACTCGGCTTTTATAGCTTACAAAAAGTACAGATCTCACCTTGTGAACTCATGCTCGACAAGGTGGCGCAACACTGCTACCACGATCTTCTCCTCCCATCGATCTCCTCTGTTTGTCTGTGTATTTCGGTGAGATTCTGTTAAGATATAAACATATTTATTATAAATATTTTATATTTTAAAATATATTTTTATATATTTTATATCTTTAAATAATTTTTTTAAATATATATATAAATTATTGTATATATAATATTATTTAAAAAAATAATAATTTTTTTAAAATTATTCTTCTTTTTTTTTTTGTTTCTAACATGATATTAAGACTATAAACTTTTGGATCTTTTCTTTTATTAGCGCCATTTGATTTTTTGAATTGGATTTTCAAATCTATTTCAGGTCTGAGAGTATCATTGGATCTCTTCTCTTATCGATTAAATTGTTTATTTTTAATTCTCAGATTTTTTTAGTTTGTTATTTTGATCTTAGTATTTATTTCTTTACAGTTTTAAAATGTTTCAAGTTTTACTGATTGACGAGTTTTCAAAGGACTATAATTTATCTTATTACTACTATAATTATCAAAAGAGTGATAGATCAACCTAATTTCAACATTAAATTCCTAAAACAGATGCTATTAAATATTACTAATACTCCTACTATCTGATTTATTGTTTTAGATACCAAACCATAGTATTTTGATTTTAATTATAATATAAATTACTTTTATTTTTTATAACTTATTTATCAATTTTTTTTTATAAAGACAATAATTAATAAATTAGTATTGTTAGAGGTTAATAACCAGTGATTCAATCCCAAATCGAGTGATCTGTTCACCGGACTCAACGAGGCGTGCGGCAATTGGGCCGCGTGGTGGAGTTCATTCATCAAATCTATTTGGAATGGACAAAGATGTGAGTGAGAGAATGGACAATACTGAGGTATTCAACCTAGCCCTATAACTCTATAACCATTATATTTGCCATGTAGAGTCTTGGAGCTCGTCTATGCCAAGGGTTTGCATTGTTGTCAAGTTTTTTTTATGGTTTTGAGTCTCAAATTGCGCTGGTGAACTTTTTGTTGAATGTGTATGGTAAATGTAGAAGTATTGAAGACGTTTAGGGCGTTTATGAATTGATGGGAATTCTTTGATTTTGGTGTCGAAGCTATGACACCAAGTTTGCACATACTTTATTGGTATTTTGAAAAAATAAAGATGGCAAGAACTAACCTCATGAAATTGATTTTGTTCAGTTTACGATTTATTTATTTATTTTTGAACAGGATAATATGTTGGGGAATTTTGGGGGAAAGGGAATGGGGAGGACTTGAAAACAAGTCTAGTAAGAACCCTATGTGAGGAGCTACCACTTGCTCTACTCAGGTTCTTAATTTAGTTCAATTTATTTCAAGTTTTTTTCGGTGCATTTTAATTTTAGTTTGTCTTTATGCTTAGTTGACGAAAAGTAAGCACTTGGTCAATGCCTTTAGATAAGGTAGCAAAAGTCTAGGAAAAGCTGGTTTTGTTCACATGTTCGCTACCTTTTGCTTTTGTCTGTTATACCAGACTTGTACATATTTCAAGCTTCAATGAAAGAGGTCAGTTGTTCTACTACCCATTTTCTTTGATGTTGAAGCTCTTACAAATTAAATATGGAGACTCAAAACATGAAGTCCAACCAGCAGACCTGTGGTGCTGTGTTCCTGCATCAGAGGTCATGTTGCTTTGACAGAACAATCAATTTACTGCAGCCAAGATCCTGGAAGTTTTTGTGGCCTTCAACCGCTTTGGCAAGGACTTATTGAGAAGATTACTAAGCTAAGAAAAAGAAGGTAAATCTCCTATTCCCAACATGCCCTACAAAGTGAATGATAAATTGATTTGCAGTTGCAGGTGATGTTGCTTGGGTGAAAATGATCAATTCACTGTAGACAATACCATGAAAGTTAATTACAGAAGACTTCAGCAGTTTTGGGGATATGGACTTACATATTGAGAGATGCCAAGGTAAGGCAAGAACTGATAGCCCTTATTCAACATATTATGTTAAGTTAATCATGTTTTTAATTTTTTGGTCTCATAAAAATAAACTAGTGCCTTTACTTTTTGCATGCCCTTAGTTTTTCCCAGATGCATATGCCAAAACTACCGGTCCATTAAATTTAACTCCCTTCCCAACCACATCCCATGTGAAATTTAATTTAATGAATTTAAATTGGCTCCTATTGAAGTCCATTGTGCTGGATTCACTTCTTTCCCAGGATGCAACTGTACCACTTGTTAGAATGACGCCTAAGAAACTAGCTAAATGGTGCAACCTACAATGTGACTCAAATTGAACTCAATATCCCTATCCTGCTCAATGCCTTCCCACTTTATCTTTATATAATAAAGATTTGTATGCTTTTCTTTTTTTGTGAAGCAAGCAAAGAATACCAGATTTCTTTGTTTGTGAAAGAGGCAAAGAATACCAGATAATAGCATTTTGGTCTTCACCAGTTCCTACATCCTACACTGCTTTCCTCTCTCACAGCCAACTTTTTCTTCTTTCCTCCTTTTGCCAGTCGCCTGGTGAGTAATACTTGATCATATATGCTCTACTCAACAGCTCTTACCATAATTTTCTCCCTTACTGTATGCTCTTTTTTTTTTTTTATTGTTATCCTAACTTGTCATGTAAATTTCTTGATAGCATATATATAATTTTCTCATTTAGGGTAAATTTTATTGATTTTGAAAATTTTTAAATTATATTATATAGGAAATGTTTTCTTCTGATTCTTAATTTTCATTAACCATGGCAGCTTTTCTTTATTCTACTTCTGGGAATCAGTCTTGTAGCTAATTGTTTTGCAGTCAAATGTATTAAGCTTTTTCTCATTTTTGTTAATGATTCTATATGTCATTGTAGCTAGGTTCATCACCATATACCAAAATTAAGGTTTATAAATACAAATTGTGTATATTGAGTATGTTTTTCAGGCTCAAGCTTGACTCCAACAGCATAACACAAAAACTGGGCTAAACTCATACTTGGGTTGTTAAAAACTAAACATCAAGGAGCAAGCTGGAGTTTGGCTTAGAATTTTTTTAATACTAAACTTGTATCTAATAAGAAAATTAATTAAACCTTAATCAAGAATTAAATAATCAACCTTATTATCTCCTCAATCCTAGCTTGTCAGGTTACTCTTTTTCCTTTTTTCGTTTTGATTTGTTTTTATGATTTGATCCTCCAAACCGAACATACTATTTTAACTTCACATCCCAAAACCTCTCATATATAATATTTCATACTGAAAGATTGAAACTATAATCTATTATGTAGGATCTACAATCTGGAAGGTTGTTTTTGTACTGGACTCAAGGTGCATCTAGGTATTTACTAAAGTTGGAAGAACTTTAGTTAGAAAGTAAGCAAAACAACTAAAGAAGATGGTGTTCTTAGATGCTGAAAGCATCAAGAAGCTATGGGATACATGGAACATTAGAGGACTCATTATTCTAAGCCTCTTGGTGCAGTCTTTTTTAGTTCTGTTTGCATCCATGAGGAAACAAAAAGGGGGAAAATGGGTTGCCATGATATGGGTGGCATACTTGCTTGCAGACTGGGTTGCTACTATACATTTACTATTGGACTCATCTTACGCACTGGAAGTAGTGACATCTTGGTTTCATGGGCACCCTTTCTTTTGTTGCATCTTGGTGGCCCTGACAGCATCACCTCCTACTCTCTGGAGGATAATGAGTTATGGCTTAGACACTTGCTTGGGCTTTTGTTACAGGTTGGATCAACTATATATTTTATCCTTCAGTCTTTCTCACAAAACAAGCTTTGGCTCCCAACTCTCCTAGTGTTACTATCAGGCATAATCAAATATGCAGAGCGGAACTATGCTTTTTATCTTGCAAGCTTTGAGCGTTTTGGAAGTAGTTGGGTGCCTAGAGATTGGGCAGCCGGACTCCCCATTCCAGTGCAATTCCAAAACTTGGGAACTGCAGATCATCTACCACGAATATTACCAGTAGATATTGACATTCATATGGACAGCTTTCTTGTAGAGTCTGATCCTAAGTCGATATTACAAGCAGCAGTTTACTTGTTTGGATCTATCAAGAATCTACTTCTTGGCCCAGTTCAATCTAGACAACAAACTGCTAAGAGTTTTGCAAACTTTCTAAGCAGAAATACAGATCATGCTGCAGAAAATGCACTTCGAAAGTTGGAGATTGAGCTAAGCCTCTTGTATGAGGTACTCCACACCAAGTTGCCTGTGGTTGTTTCCAAGATTGGATGCGTATGTCGCATCTTGAACTTGGTTTGCATCTTGGGAGCCTTGCTGTCATTCTCATTAGTTAAGAAGCACTACAAGCTGGAGGAGTTTGATACGTGGCTAACTTTTGGATTGTTGATTGGGGCCTTAGCATTGGATTTCATATCTGTCATATTACTTGTTTTCTCTGATTGGTTTGCTGTTGCTTACTTCCGTATTATGGAATCCGGATCCCTCCCCAAATTCATTACTAGGTTTATCAACATCAACAAATTTATCAACCGGCACAGATGGTCTAATGAAGTTTCGCAGTTGAATTTTATTACTTATCTTGTGAAGGATCATCCACATTGGTTGGAAAAAGTGGCAGAATTTCTTCTCTTGAAGAGTTTGTTAGAAGTCATAAAAGGAATCCGATGTCAGTCCTCCCAAAATTTTAAAGAAGACCCACATTGGCGCTTCATTTTTGAGGAAGTGATAAATTTTTGCAAGACAGTGCCACGAATCAAGGAAGTTTGGTTTGAAAGAAGCTTCCAAATTCTTGAAGAATTTTCAATTTCGGGGCCTGTTGAAAGGATCATCAAGGAGTCTGATTACACACAAATCCTTCTAACATGGCATATAGCCACAGAATTATCCTTCCGAGGAGAAGATGAACGATGCTCTTCAACAGGAAGTAATGATCATAGGGCAATATGCAAGCTACTTTCAGATTATATGTTCAACCTTCTAATGATGAAGCCTGCTATGATGGCAAGTGTGCTGAACGACTGGAAAAAAGTATTCGATGACACATATGCAGAAACCGAGTCATTTCTAAGCCGGAGTTCAGTCTTAAATGAAAAGGATGCCAGCAGAAAAGTCCTTTCAACAGACTTTGACGATTTGGCCAAAAAAGTTGAGTTTGGGGGTGACTTTGATGCTGACTATCAGTTGACTAGTAGAGATGATGGAAAAAGATCTGTGTTATTTGCAGCTCGAGAGCTCGCTACCCATCTCAAGCGAACAGATGGTTATCCCTGGGAGAGAATAAACTG